CCACTACCCGGTTCCACAAGGTAAGGGGTGAGGCTAATCACTTCAAACTCAACGACTTTGGTAACGATAACAAGGGTTGCAAATGTAAAAGAAAGTGTAGAACATGTGATATAACTAATACAGATAATTACATTGTATCAAACGTTACAAACTTATACATTAACACATATAAAGAAGCAGATGCAGATTGTAACGCTAAAAATGTAGTTTACTGTTTAACATGCAATGGCTGTGGATACAGTATGTTGGAATGACAGTAAGAAAATTAAAAGAAAGAATTGGAGAACATCTTTCTAATATTTTTTCACACAAGGTACACACACCGTTATATAATCACTTTTACAAATGTGATAGAGGTATAACGGTACAAGTACTAGACTGTATGAAGTCTAATGATAAAACCACATTAAATAGAAAAGGAACTTTTTTGGATCAAACTTCTAATGACAGCATATCCCTTTGGGTTGAACGATAACATAAAGGGATATGGAAACATTACAAATATAGATAATCCTCTCATGTACAAGGGCAATCATCCCTTCTTCTCTCTTAAAATTACAAAGCAAAGGATAAATAGAGGAAAAAGAAGCAGTAAAAAAATTAAAGTAAGCACATACGATAATATTATAGCAACGATAACAAGTAATAGTGAAACACTCAAACCTATTCATTACTTCAGAATGCTCAAAAGCCTGCGTAAAGAAGAAATTAAGAAACTAATTGAACTCTCCATGTCTGCAGACTTTCTACAAAGAGTTAATAATAAGACTAGGTATCTTAATATTTTGTCTGCTAGCTCATTTTCATTTTGACACTACCACAAAAGAAATCACCAAAAAGAACTATCATAATGTAGAGGTCAGTTTCAAAAGCAGGGTGTTTAATGAAATACCCTTCAACAGAATCTTCAATTCACGTACTGTTAGAGATATACTACTCAACGATAATGGAAGGAGCAGTGATTTCACCCCAATTAGAATCGTTTATAAGTACAGCAACACAATGGCTAGCAAAATTTGCAATTACAACAAAGTGTTGAAAGATCTCGACAACGAAAAATTGAAGCAAATACTCAACAACGATTGTATATGTACTACAAATACAGTACAAGAATATCCTTACATTCTATAAAGCAGAAACTCTGTGTGTCGGTTTGTCGGTATGTATTCTCGTCATCCGGGCAGTTGATTAGGGCGGTCGTCAACGGGCCGCAGCGCGTGCCAGGAACTATTTGCTTTTCCAGGCTAATTTAGTCATTTTTTTCCACCTTGTGAAGATAAGGAGCTGCTAATCTGGGAAAAAGTAGCCAAAACAGTGAAAAGTTGGAAAAAATGACTAAATTAGCCTGGAAAAAGCAAAATAGTTCCTGGCACGCGCTGCGGCCCGTTGACGACCGCCCTAATCAACTGCCCGGATGAGGGTAGGTATGTATGTATGTCGGTTTGTATGTCTGTCCGTCCGCAAAATGCTTTACGGGATTAAACACGTTAGTGAAAGAAGAAAACGACCGCTAGCCAAACCGGGAACCCATCGGTGCAGATGTATCAATCCAATGTTTTGATTGTGATAACAGCATATATAAGACAACCACTCGGTACACCGAGCCATTGCACGAGCTGCTGCCGGACGTGTGCTCGTGCGGGGGCAGGGTGGGGTGGAGCCGAGGGAGGGGGGATGCCAAGGGCCCCTCCCTCTGCTTCCTTCCCCTGCACGTGCTCAGCCCGACCTGAGCATGTGCAAGTGAAGGAATCAGAGGGGAGGGGGGAGGTAAGGCGAGCGGCCCCTCCCGCTCTACTTCCTGGGGGGGGGGACGTAGTGCACGCTTGGGTAGAATAATAGCAGGAGAGTAGGATACAACCGCTAACAAAACTGTGAGCTAATCCATAATAGAGTAGCAAACTAAGGTAAGATGTTGTTTTGACGTGATAATACCCCCACCCTATCTAAGACAGTCATTTGTACAAAAAAAAAAAACAAGATTTTCAAAAAAAAAGAAAAAAAAACAAAACACATTACCTGGGCCATTGTTCCAAGGGCTGCTCGCATTGCAGCGGTGTGGCGGCTCGGCCGTGTGTTGCTCCATCTATTACGATTAGACCATAACAGCGCATTATGAGCAGCTAAGTGGATGAAAAAAATTTCGTTGCCATTGAAGTGCGCCCACCAAGCCAACTGAACAGAAGGAGGAAAGCTCGGCGTTAGCCGGGCGATCCGATAGTGTGGATAAAAATCATGAACACGTTATCACAGGAAATGTAAATCTCATACAAGAAGATGGTTTCAGAAGACTACTGAGTAAAGGGACCAAATATAGATCTGACACAGGCATAACAAGACAAGAAGTTAGAATGGTGTTTGAAGATACACTCAACAAGATAATAAATTATTTTAAATATAAATACAAGGCTAGCAATCACAAGATTAATCTATTATATAAACATTTTCGTTCATGTTACCATGACAAAGTAAAACCTTTACTGACAAAGGCTAATATTGAAGATATAGGAGAACACATACCTTACAACTTAATCAAACAATATCAAGAAAAATACGTGTTCTGCCCACTCGACAAAGCAAATAATAACTATGGCATCATCTGTAAGAAGTTCTACCTTCTGAACATTATGCATGAAATGGGCATTTCTTATGATGCTGCCAACCACACATTTGTCTATGGAAATAGTAATAACACATATGAGTTGATGCCTCATACGAACAAGTATTCTTTAATATTGAAACACAAGTTCCTTTGTGTTAAAGAATAATATCAATATATCCATTGATGCAGAAATACCTACTATATATGCCTTACCAAAGCTACATAAGAACCCAGTTAAATTCAGGTACATCACAGGTGCACATAGCAGTAGTATTAAACCACTGGCTCAGGAATTACGCATAATCTTTACACATCTTAAAAATCACTTCATAAACTACGCTAAAGCAATTCGGAATCGCAACAGGACTATCAAGACATACTGGTCTATAAGTAATATTAATATAAGTCACGAACTACACAACATCACGTTCGACAATCTCAAAATTTACACAGCAGATTTCACTGACATGTTCACAAATTTAGAGCATGATCTTATTCTTAAGAAAATGCAGGAACTCCTTAACATTTGCTTCAAAAATGCCAACAGATCCTTTATTGCCACTAATGGTTACCATGTTTTCTATACAGATGGTAAAGAACTCAAGAACAACTACAGATATTACAAATCCAGCGATTTAATATACTTTATTGACTATCTTTTACGTAACAGCTTTTGTCTTTTTGCTAATAATACGTTCAAACAGACTAAAGGTGTCCCACAAGGTGGCAATTTCAGTCCACTACTAGCAGATCTTACGCTTTCTGTCATGGAATATGACTATGCTAAATCTAAAAAGTTTAATAAAACTAAGCTGTTCATCCCATATAGATATATGGATGATTTGCTTGTTGTTCACAACCAAACTGATGATGATGTGGATGAACTACTTTCTCAAGTTTATCAAAATACCCTTCAGTTGAAAAAAACTCATAATAGTGAGGTTTCTAGTAATTATTTAGATTTAACAATTAATATCATTAACGGTAAAATTAGTACCAAGCTGTATAATAAAACGGATGATTTTACCTTCAGTGTTATCAGATTTCCGTATAGGGACACAAATATCTCTCTTATCAACAAATCCTCTGTTATATATACGGAAACTTTGAGGTTAGCGAACACTTGTTCGTTCTTCAACGCTTTCGTTAGCAAAATAACGGATATGATCACCACTCTTTTGAAAAATGGCTACGAGGAAGATTTTATTATTACTAGCATTGTTAAGTGTATTTATAAAAATAAATTTATAAGTTACAAGTACTCAATCGCAAATAACTATAGAAAGATAAATAGACTAGTCACAGGTTTACTCATTTGCAGCAGTGATCAACACTAATTCCCTTCTTTCCACTGTACTTTAATTGATTTATTTCTGGTATACCTTCTCTTATACTCAACATTCTCTCAGTGGTTTTGCCGGTTTACTCCTTTTCCCTTCCTTCCACAAGTATTTACAGCACACTTCGTGTTATAGTATAATTCATCATCATCTTGATGCATGAACTTTGCATGTTACCCCCTTTTTTACAATCTCTCTCTTTTTGTCCTTTCTCACACCTTCCCCTATGTAGTCTATGTCCTCTTGTCTTCAACCTATCGCACTGATGATGCTCGGGGGTTGGCTAGACAATGATGATTCGTCTGCGATACCGAGCGAAACGGATCATCTGTGTTGTGGAGTGTATTCCTTTCCCATGTTTGTTTTTCTTTGCTTCTAATTGAGGGCGGAGTTCTTGCCCGAGTTGTTCTCATATTAAAAAGTAGCGCCAGTCTCACAAAATCGCCTTCCTGGATCGTCCGACACATTTGAGAGCGTCATTAGCCTTTATGTTATCGACAGAGAAAGTGCCTTTAAGTAGGGGTGAAATGTGTAGAGCGCTTCGCAACTGTTTTTGAAACACTGATTTCTTTCACAAAACCTGCAAATAATTATCTTCAATTTAGCTTGCTCTGCCAAATCGAACAGAAGTTCAGGGAGCTCTCAAAGTATTCGGAGCCGCTGATTATTGTGATAACGCCTACATATAAAAGGCCTGTGCGATTTGCAGATATGACACGGTATGACAACCATTATCAGTTCAACACCCAAAATATTCACCTCTTGTCCCTAGCCCACAGCCTATATATTTTGGGATACTTACTCCAAACATCACAGGCTTTTTTTTTCTGACGCATAGCGGGAGCGCGGCCGATTCACACTGTTTTCCGCGGCGTTTTTGAAGACATGATAAACTTCTGAGGCTAACGGCTTACCTGTCGCTATACGCCTCAGCCTGGTACAGGTACAGCGTTGGGCGGAAAGTAATTGATGTGATTAGAAAATGGGTTGACAGGTTTTCAAATTCTGGTTCTGTGAAGCCTCACTTGTGGCCAATGAGTCCCTACTACCTTGTCAATCACTCACTCTCAGAATATTCTCTCATGGCACAGATTACAACATTATCCGAAAGAAATGCCCCGCATGCACACACGTGCGTGGGCTAGCAGGCGTAGAAGAATTCCAGGCGGCTCTGCTGATTCGCTTGCCAAGGTATAGGCCCGAACATAGCTACAATGTTCTTTATAAGTATTAAGAAAATTACAGAAGGCACTTTCGATATTCGAAACTATCATTAGCCATGCAAACAACAATGTGAAGTGATGCAAAGCAAGAAATTCATAAAGGCATTGGAAAACTTTAAACTAATATTTTCAGGATGGCAAATACACTACGGTAATTCGCAGCCATTATACTGGATAGTCATCGAGGATGGAAACGCAACAGTACCCTACGTTGGAAGAATCCTTCAACGATCTACGTTACCTTTCACCTATATGGCTGCGAAAACACCTGTGAACTACCCAGGTAGCAAATCCCTTTTTCTAGCAATTCATTCATTCCGTCAACACAACCCAGATGAAATATTCCCAATTGGAGCACGGGCAAGTTGACTTTCAGATTTTTCGCTCCTTGCAAAGCAGATACCCTCTGCTCGACTCTAGTCATTTGTGCTCCGAGTTTAAACCTTGGTCAGGGGAGGGGACGCAGATGAGCAGCAGCAGCAGCAGCATGACCCTGTTGAACAGTTTCGCTGATTTCATTGATCCAGACTACCGAAAATCATTGCAGGGCGTGGATGGTATCAGCGATCTGTGGCTTTGCAGTATCTCCGGAGTATTTCCGCTCATATACTGGAGAAATATCGTTCTGCTGTCGTTTACTTTGCCGATGATGATAACGCTTATGACACACGCGTTTTTACTGATTACGTACGAAATGTGAAGAAGCTGGGAATGTGGGCTGTGGGTGAGCATTTCTTTCGTTTAGTATTAGCTGCTGCTCTATGGAAACCTGTAAAAATTACTTTAGGTCTGTCCGGCGGATTTCCAGTGGAATATCCAAAAGCCGTTAATGGCACAGTGGTTGGCTTTCACGCGTGGAGACCACAAACGCGAAAATTTGCCGTCGACATGGCTGGCTTCGCAATCAATTTGAAATTTGCCTGCGGTTTGTGTAGCACTGATTAGAGTCAATATTACTTTGGAGACCTCACAACTTTTATCTTTACCATTTCCACTATTTTTGAAGATTCGAAAGTAGCACAAGCTTATCAGAAACGCCTGAAACGGATCAGTATCGCTGTGAAGAAACCAAATAGTGGGAATCATTACTCAAACTATTGGTTTGCAAAAATCAAGAGTCGGAAAAAAGTGACTGTTCAAGGGTGTACTCTGGAATACCCAATGTTTCTCAAAACTGCATTGCCAAGAACAACCGTTTTGAGCTGCTCGTATGCTGTCGTCTGCTTTTTGAGAGGCGGCCTCGATGAACGAAGCGAGCATTTTTCTGACAAAAGGGAATAAGGGCAGAGTCTTCGCAGAATGGGGGCAGAGTCTTCGCAAATGGATTCCATAGATCACCGAGAAGTACAGTGATGATCCCTGCAAACGATAGCTTGCATGAAGGGGAGTGGATTGGAGGGCTGCCAAGGCACCCTGTCCTAACATTGGGCCATACTGACTCCGCAACAATTGGCGAAACTGTTCTTGTTGTGTTATTCACGCTCATTCGCCCTATCGCTTGGTCATACTTGAGAACCATCTGCTGTCAGTGTCGCGAGGGCAATATCTACGCCTTTTTCGAAAACTGTTCTATTACTCATTTCTTCCATAAAGGCCTATCAAATTTTGCGATGTTGCATTATTTTCCTCCAACTGCCATTTTTCGTTTTCCTAAGGCTGCGTTCATACCGTGCGACGTCGTCGTCAACGTCGACGTAACCTGCGTTTTCTGCGACTAGTTCGTGAAGATTATATACGTATCGATCCGACGAAAGCTGCGTAAGTTGCGTAACCGACGACTACTTCACGAAGATTAGATACCTATCGATCCGACGAAAGCTGCGTAAGTTGCGTCGTCGAATCGATACGTATCTAATCTTCGCGAAGTAGTCGTCGGTTACGCAGCTTACGCAACTTACGCAGCTTTCGTCGACGTTGACGAC